AACCATGAATCTTCTTGCTGCTTTAGGATTTGGTATAATTAATGGTCTTAGAAGCACAGCCCCTTGGCACTATTTGGGCAAATAAATAAACTAACAAAAACTCACAACTCTCACTTTGTAGGGAATAAAAGATTTTATTCTGGAGCCAAATAGAAGTGATTGTGGCCCAGGATTCTGGTTCCCTAGACACCACGCTCACAGTGGAGAGGTTTCACGAGAGATTTCACTAGTTCCAGGGCAAAGTCATAGATCAAGCGATCTGGGGAATACATGGGTGGGAGCCACGGGTAGGTGGTTTACAGCAAAACTGTGGAAAACAATGGCTTCCTTGGAACCCATTTTAAAGACGTTGGTAGTCACAAGAATGTTAAGTCTGATGTGGCCGTAGACATTGGAAGACTTTCAGAAGGATTCAGAGTGGCCTAAGACACTGGCTTTGACCTGCTGTTAGATCTCAAACCTGGTCAACCGGCTGAGGTGCCTACTTAACATACTAAAGCTGATCTGGCAGCCAGGTTCTCCCAGCATCCCTCAGTCCCCACCTGTTACCGGGTCTTCCTGGCTGGCATACTCCCTCCCGTCCCCCCAAGTTCTCCAGCCTAGGTATTAGGCTGGGCTTCCCTCCCCCAGCTGCCCTTTCCTACACAATCCAACCGTTTTGGTTACCTGGCCCTTTCATCTATCTTTACCTTCCTGGCTTCTTGGTCCGGCTCTCCCCTCTCCCTCTCCTCACTTGGCTCAGGGCCACGACCACCCTGGACTCTCCCAGATGTCCCTGCCTCTGGCTGTGCTCTCCCGCATGTCTACAGTAAACTCTCTCCTCCGTCACACCTAGGAGCAGCAATGTCCTTCCTTCCCTTTCTTTTTCTCATTCACCTGAGCCTCATATATGAAACCTGCATCTCTCCACTTCTAGCTAAGCCTATACACCTCATAAAACCTGCCTCTCTCTCTCTCTCCCATTGCTTACGACACCCCTCTACCTTTCTCTCCTTCCTCCCTCCCTCTTGCTATTATTCGTTTGCTCTTAACAACTGGCTTAGTTACCATTTCCTTTGGATTAGACTTGCTTTATATTGACCTCAAGATGGTACTCACACACAACCATAGCCATTTGGGTTTCTCTCTCTCTCTCTCTCTCTCTCTCTCTCTCTCTCTCTCTCTCCCTCTCACCTCTCACCTGTCTCTGAGATCCAACTCAGGACCAAGAAGCAGCCAAGCATAAGACATGGTTTCCATTCTGTAGGGCTTATAGTCCAAAAGGAGAAAGGAAGGAAAGGAGGGAGGGAGGAGTAGAGCAAGGGAGGGAGGGAGGAAGAGGGGGGACCAAATGGTTATGATTCCCTGTGTGTGCCACCAAGAGATAAGTGGAGAAGATACACCTAATCCAAAGGAAATGATAGTTAAGCTGGTTATTAAGAACAACAACAACAAAAAAAACTATACCAAGAGGAAGGGAGGAACTGGGGAATGGAATGGCACAGAGGGCATTAAAACCACAAGAGTGAGTAAGACTCTCAGACAAGTTTTATGAGGTGCATCAGCGTGGCTAGGCACAGATGTGGGTTTCACAGATGTCTCCAGCAAACCCAACAAGATAGACCCGCAAATAGAAGCACATCCTGCTGGGCTTTGAGTGCTGTGTTCCACAGCCGGGCTGGATCCCACGGGGTGCTGTGCTTCTTACGCTGAGTAGAACACGACACGGGGGCGTTTGCATCAGCCTGCAGTAGATCCCTGAACTCTGCGTGCACAAGTCCAGATTTGGCCCATCAGAGAGAAGCCAGGAATCTGCATTTCTTGCAGCCCCTCCCTCCTGGGGTGATGCAGAAGATGGCTGGGTGCTAACTTTCCAAGCACAGCTGGAGGAGACATGGAGTCATCGAAGAGTAAAGAAAGCATCAACTCTGTTTCAGAAAAGGCACTCTAGCAGACAGTTCCCCTGTCCCTGCTCACTCAGCAAAGCCCCTAAGCCTTTGATAGACCTCCAGTAACCCTCTGTGACCCAGGAGTGCAAAGCTCAGAATGGGTTCTGAAAGTAAATCTGCTAGTAAGAGGCCTCTCAGAAGACCATGCCTGAGCAGTCTTGAACTGTTTTTTTTTAGAACTTTTATATTCCATATATAAATATAATGCACAGACAGTGAAAGGTACTGGTTGTGAGAGCTTCAGGACGGGGTTCTCTGAAGGGATTCTGGATTCTGAAGGGTGGGACATACTGGAACACAGAGCGTGGGGTGCGTGGATCCCTGTTTGGTCTAGTCTGGGCTGTAGGAACTCCCGGCAGGACAGAACCTGTGTTTGTTAATGCAGGTCCAGGGGGGATTTGGGCACAGGCCATGTAGCTATTAACCTGAAATACCAATTATGTCATGTTAGAGAGCTGAACCCACTTGGATTAACGTAGTCTCGTTTCTTGCTGCTTATAATGACTGAATACACTGATGAATATTTTGTGTTGGCTACA